CTGGCAATCCACTCCAGGATTCTTGCCTGGAGAATCCCATGCACAGAGGAGCTTGGCAGGCTGCAGGCCATAGGGTCACAAAGAATTGGACACGACTGAAGCGACTTAGCACTCACACACATAGGGACCTCATGTAAGTGGAATCATCCAGCATTTGTCTTTTTGTAACTGGCTTATTTGACTCAGCATAATGTCCTTAAGATTTATCTGTGTGGTAGCGCGTGTCAGACTTTCCTTTCTTTCAAGAGTACATCATATTCCATTGTATGGATAGACCACATTTTATCTCTCCATTGATCCATGGACAATGGGTTGTTTCCCCATTTTGGCCGTTGTGAATGATGCTTCTATAAACATGGGTGTACAGACATCTGTTTGAGACCCTGCTTTCAATTTCTTTGGGTATACACCCAGAATGGAATTTTCTGTTTCTCTTTTCTTTTTTTTTTTTTAAATTATAGTTGATTCTGTTTCAAAGTGCTGATGTGACTTCAACTTCGTAACACTTGCAGTTTAGAAGGCACTGTGTTTTTTTGTGCTGTATCCCCAACCCCAAGCATGGTGTCTAGAACTATTTTCAGAGGAATGTTAAATTAAACTATAGATGCACAAGGCTCTCCATTTTTGGGTAATTATTTTTTATTACTTTTCCATGAATAAAGCCTACAGAGCTCCCATTTTTCTTTCTTTTTTCACATGTTGTACAAATGCTGCTATTAATGTCATGGAATGCTATGGTTATATTGTCCTAGACAGCATACATCATTTATTACAACAACAATATGTTCTGGACTCGGGCCATAAATTATCTCAAAGTGACGTGGAATAACAGTCTGTTAAAATGTTTGGGCGCAAAATCTTACATTATTAATTAAGTTTTCAGAGATTTTTTTCTTGAACTTTCTCTTTTTTTTTTTCCTCCACAGATCTTTTAAAAATGCTGTGTAGATTATACTTAGTTGACTGAACATGCGTGTCCTTGTAATTATACTAAAATTTGCTTTTGTTAGAGTAAGCTTTTACCATTGTGGGGAAAAACATAGCAGTTGAATACTCTAGGTTAAGGGAGTAATAATGACCTTTATCATCTCAGAGCAGTGGGCTATGTTTTTGTTATATGTCATTTTGTTCCATCGGAAGTAAAATCCTCTAAGAAAATCTCCAAAAAAAAAAAAAAAAGAAAATCTCCAGCTCAATTTTTCTCCCATCCCACTTTTGAATTTTCTTTACTCCTCAACCTTTCTGCTTTGGGGCCATCAGATATCATATCTTTCACATTATAAATCAGGAATGCTAACAATCTTAAACAGAATCATCTTTTAATCATTTATTCATGATCATCACTTCCTTTCCAGAGCATGCCACACATCAGTTTCTAAACACTAACTATCCAAAGTATCCTAATGTATAAAATCACAAAGTGGAGTAACAATAGTGTAAAGGTCAGACTGGAAGGGGAGAAAGATAGGAAAAGAGAAAACAGAGAAATGCCAGGTTCAAATGCGCACCTGTGTTTAGTCCCAGCCTTCAAAAGCCCCTCTCCGGGAGGCTTAAGAAGGCGGGGATATATAAAGTTACGGCTGACTTGCATTGCTGTATGGCAGAAGCCAACACAATTGTCAAGCAATTTTCCTCCATTTAAAAAAGAAATTCAAAAAAGCCGCAGCACCTGCCTTTGGGATGCATAGAGTCTGCCCGTGCTGGGTCAGGGTAGAGGCTTCATGCAACTCTTCTGCCACCTCTGCCCTCTGTATTCGACCTCTATTTCTTTTCTCTGTCAAAGTTCTGAAACATGCATCTACAAGCATTCTCCTTTTCTTTTTTTGAGGGTTCTTAATGATTTACACTGATCAAAAGAATTTACATATTTTGTATTGTCTGAAGTGGAAAATTAAAGGCAATATTGATTTTTTTCTCTCTCTCTTTAAATTTTAGCCCTTTTATTTTTTGACTGCACCTTATGCCTCGCAGGATCTTCATTCCCCCACCAGGGATCAAACCCATGCCCCCTGCAGTGGATGTGTGGAGTCTTATCCACTGAGCCACCAGGGAAGTCTCTGCCTGCTCTCCTTTTGAGGTCTGGCAGCTCGGCTCCGGTCCCCACTGCTTCACCAAGATGCTCCAAGTCACCTGGGGGCCCTCTACCACCAGATCGAAGCCCTTTCCCCAGGCTCATCCCCCTTGACTTGTCCCACAGAGAACTTTGTGGAACTTTCTGTCCACCTCTGTGCAACTTTCTGTGCTCTTGGCTTAATGAGAGAGCCCACTAGGCTGATGTCCTGCCTCTCAGACAGCTCCTTCAGAATTTCCTTCTCTCCTCCCTTTCCAAGGCTCTGTCCAGCTCCCTTCCCACCCTCCATCCTCTCTTTAGAGTGTTCCTGCTACAGCCTCTTTGCGGACAATCCCCACTTCTCATTCTTTCACTGGCCAGCTGGTCTGCACCCCCAGTTGCTACAGGGCATTTCTAGTGTGAGGTCTGCTGTCCTCTGGTGTTTAGCCTTCCTGCCTCTCCGGCTGTATCGTCCTAGAGCAGTTTCCCTCCGGCCCATCCCTCAGCTTCTTTCTGCCCTCTGACTATCCGGGCCCTGAGTGCTCCTTTCCAGACAGCTGCAGACACCCTGGGGGTGCTCCAGCTGCATGTCCTGGCCCCTGTGGTCTGATTCACGCTCAGCTCAGTTCAGTGCAGTTCAGTCACTCAAGTCGTGTCCGACTCTTTGCCACCCCACGGACTGCAGCACGCCAGGCCTCCCTGTCCATCACCAACTCCTGGAGCTTGCTCACACTCATGTCCATCGAGTCAGTGATGCCATCCAGCCATCTCGTCCTCTGTCGTCCCCTTCTCCTCCTGCCTTCAATCTTTCCCAGCATCAGGGTCTTTTCAAATAAGTCAGCTCTTCGCATCAGGTGGCCAAAGGATTGGAGTTGCAGCTTCGGCACTCAGGCTCAGCTCTAACACTGTTGGTGTCAGCCACCTGCTGGCGTGCAAGCCTCCTGCCTCCCTCTGTCCTGCTGGGTCTGGCTCAGGCTCCAGTGCCGGCTCTCAGGACCTCTTAGCTCAGGCCACCCTCATTTCCCCACTGTCTGAACACAGACCGTCCGCTCACGTCAGGCCAGCCCTAGGGCCTGTCAGCAGCCCCGGCTGTTTGTTTCCCCCTCAGTCATGAACCCTGTCCCTCCAACCCCAGGTCACAGTTGAACCTACAGCACCTGCAGCTGTTGAGGGTCACGCCACACCTCACCCATCCCAGTGTACTTTTCCTCTTAACAACCCCTGTGGTCTTCTGTTCTTGGTCTCCTTGACCAGGACGGGGCTTCAACCTTTCCCGTCTGTCCAGAGCATCTAATGCCAGTCCTGCTAAGCACATGTGCCAAGCACAGAGTGGCAGGGTCCCATCCCTGACCCTGCCCTCTGCTTTTGCAAAGAGAGGTCCCCATCCACCTCTGAACCCCAGCGAAGCCCCCAGGTTTTCTATCAGTAACTTTTTTTACTCAGTTCTCATTTCACCTACTTGAGCTTCCCTGGTGTTCTCAGAGGGTAAAGAATCTGCCTGCAATGCGCAATAGCTGGGTTCGATCCCTGGGTTGGGAAGATTCCCCTGGAGGAGGGCATAGCAACCCACTCCAGTATTCTTGCCTGGAGAATCCCATGGCCAGAAGAGCCTGGAGGCCTACAGTCCTCGGAGTCACAAAGAGACAGACACGACTGAGCGACTGTGCACCGCAGACAGCACAGGAGCTAATACCTACGACTGGAAACCAGTCAGAACTGAACATGTGAGTCAACTGTAACTACTGTGTAACCAGGAGCAAAAATGTTACCCGCCTGTTCTGGACTAAGTCAGTTCAGTTCAGTTCAGTCGCTCAGCCGCTCTTTGCCACCCCAATGACTGCAGCACGCCAGGCCTCCCTGTCCATCGCCAACACCCGGACCAAGTCAGAGGATCGTCAAACGCACTCTCTGCATCCTCACTTGCCACGTGCCAGCATCTTTACCTCAGTCCACGGTCAGTGACTGGCGCATGTGCGCAGGAACTGGAAACTTTACAACCCCGTGGATTTGCGCCTTTATCTCCTTCTGTGGTACTTTGTCCCGACTCCCTGTCTCCCTGAGACAGAGTAAGGAGAGATTTCCATGGGCCCTGTAACAAGTTAACAAGCGTCTTATGTGACAACACAGCCCCCCACCCCAGGGGCTGATCAGAGGTGGGAGGGACCCCGGCAGATGTTTTAGCTCCCTTTAAAGACCCCGGCCTTTCCAGCCTGACATCTGGAGGGCCCCTTTTGGACGTGGGAAGCCGCATCGGTTCGAGCCGAGTCATCAGCCCGACGCCGGTTCTCACTCGAGGCAGGGCCTGGCCGCGGCGGAAGAACCCGCGGAGAAAGGGGCGCGCCTGGCAGGACGTGGCCAAAAGTGGAGCTGCTCCGACGTGGACACCCGGCCGAGATGGGCCCGCGAGTTGTCCATGTTTGGTCCTGGAGCCGCCCGCGGGGCGCGCGCGGACAGCGCCCCCAGGGGAGCGCGGGCGCCGGCGGCCGCAGGAGGGATTGCCCGGGCCGGGGCCGGGGGGCGGGGTGGGGGGCGGCTCTCCCGCTCCCCGCGCGCCCCCTCCCGCGCCGCCGCCGCCGCCGCCTCGCCTTTGTCCCCGCGCGCCCCCCACAACCCCGGAGCCGGCGGCCGCGCGGGGAGGCGGGGCCCGGCCGCGGCACCCCCCCGCCCCGGTCGCGCGCCGCCCTCGGCTCCCCGGCGCCCCGGCCCCGCCCCGGCCCCGCCTGGCCACGTCCCCCCGCCGAGGCCGCCCCCTGGCGGGCGGAGCGGGCGTTCGGCTCGCGCGGCCGCGGCGGCGGGCCCGGGGTTGCCATGGTAACCGGCGGCGGCCGCCGCCACGGCAAGGCCGGCCCCAGCGCCAGCGCCGGCCGCGGCTCGGCGCGGTTCAGTGTGGGGGTGAGCGGGCGGCGGCGCGGCCGGGCCGGGGGAGCGGGCGCTGCCCGGCGGCCTCAGCATGGAGGACGGCTTCTCGAGCTACAGCAGTCTGTACGACACGTCCTCGCTGCTCCAGTTCTGCAACGGTGAGGAGGGGCGACGGCCGGGGCGGGCCGGGGGGCCGCGGCGCGGAGCGGGCCGAGGGGCGAGGCCGGGGCGGCCGGGGAGGCCGCGCAAAGTTGCTGCGGAGGGGCGCGCGGTTCCCGCCGCCGCGGGCGCATTGTGCTGGGCCGCTGAGCCCCGGGCCGCCCGCGCCTCGCTAAGCCCCCGCCCCCGCCCCGGCGCGGCTCCCGGCTCCCGCTCCCGGCTCCGGCTAGTGCGCGCGGGGAGCGGCCGGTCCCGGGGAGACCCGCGCGGGCGCACCGACCGGGCAGCGCGAGGGGAGGCCCGGGCGCCCCGGGGCTCCGCGGGGACGTGTTGCTTTCTGCTTCCAAACTCACATCTGTTTGGAAATGTCTGGATGAAGAACTCGGAGAACATATCACTTAATAACAAAACACTCCTTCGAGGATGTGCGCAGTGTTTGCTGCGCATGGACTCAGATCCATTCCGTTCTACTTTGATGAAACCATCAACACTTTCATGCAATCTAGAGCTGTTTAAATGGACAGGCAGAGTGAACCGGGCTTCAAAGTGTTTCGACTGTTTACGGGGTGATACTTTTGGGGGTTTTTGTATTTTTTTTTTAATACAGGGAGGAAATATTAATAGCTTATCAATATGGCATCTTTAAAAATTATATAAAATCTTACGTTTCAAAGATGTTAGTTTCACTAGTAGGGTAGAAAAAGATTTTCACAGCAGACTGCACGGTTTATCAGAACATTCATGCACAAAAGTTAACCATACAATTTTTCTATGTTGGATTTATTCCTTTATTAGAGGATCCCAGAAACTTGTTAAAGAAAAAATAATCGTGTATTTTCTAGAATGTGCCTCTAGTACAGATGGAATCTTGGAATTCTAGACGCTTTGACGACTTGAGCAATTATGTTGCAGTTGTATTTGTGATTTAGGCAAATTTCTCTAGTTATTGGACACCTGTTTGCAAATAGGAGGTATTAGCCTTGGCAATTAACATCACCGGGTTGATTCATCCTCTATAATGATATTTTAACCTCTGGCGAAATTTATCATCTTTTTCATGGGAGAGTATATATTCTGATAGTTTTGGCAGCTTGTAATTTTCATATTAATCACATGTGAGCCTTCATTAACTTGTAATGGCCTCTTCAGCAGAAAGGGTGAAAGTTTTTGCTCTCCAAATTTAACAAGAGTTTCAGAGCTGAAGGAGGAGAGAATGTATTTGGTGCCCTTCTGGCCATTGGAATTTCTTATATGTAGTTGAGAGTCATGGAAACGGTTTTATCCTCCACAACATTAAGTAGATATTTGAGCAGTTGTTTAGGGGCTGGTCATATTGCTTCTAAATAGCAGTTCAGTCATAAAGTTGTGCATCTATTCATGAACATTTTGGATTTCTGCCTTTTCTTATTAAGTGTGTGTTAGAGATATTGGTAAGGAATTTTACTGGTAAGTGTCTAGAAGAAAGTAAAAACCAGGTTTTATATTGTATGGCTAACAGTTTAAAGAGAAATGACTATTATTGAAGCATAGTTGATTTACAATATGTTAAGTTCTGCTGTACAGCAAAGTGGCTCAGTTATACATGTATATCTATTCTTTTTTAATATTCTTTTCCATTATGGTGTTTCTGAAGATACTGAATATGATTCCCTGTGCTGCACAGTAGAACTTTGATGTTTATCCACACTGTATATAATAGTTAACATCTGCTAACCCCAAACTTGCAATCTATCCATCCTCTACCCATGTCCCTGTTGGAAAAAAATGACTTTAAAATAGCTTAGAAAGAAGCAATAAGATCAGTTCAAAATACAATTGAATCCTAACAGTTGAATTACTTTTCTTTACAAAGCTCTTAGCTCTGTGCTTATTTTTCTGGTTACCTTATGAATAAAGTTTAAAGCAAGAATGGTCTCTGAGGTAGAAATGAGTGTCACACCGGTGATGTTTTAGGCAACAAATGTTTGGATGAGAAATTATTCATTTTAAGAGGCCTTTGCTGAGTGAAAATATAAATGGATACAACTCAATTAATGACTGTGATGCAGTAGATGAATCCATCCATGTTCATATGTTGAGCACACTCCATGCTTTCGATAGTGACAGGAACCAAAAAGTCATAGTTGTTTATTAGCTTCAGAAAATAACATCCCATACTTGTTATTTGGATGACTGCCACAGTTAACATCTTCCTGGTGTGACCAAGATAGAAGTTAGTAGTAAACGTGAAAAGAAAGGAAGAGAAAACGTTGTTCTAAGGAGTGAAATCTCTAGTTCCCACTGTATTTTTTCCCTTACCGTCTCCTGTACTTGATTTGTAATGGATATTAAACGTCAACATAGGCAGTATCTAGCCTCATGAAAAGACTATCCATGCTCCTCTTTTAGGTACTGGCTGTCTCATTTCAGTAGGAAATGTGTGCAGTGTTTTTTCTCCAAACTGTTTAGGACTCTGTAAAGTGAGCTAGAAATCACAAACTTCTGTCTGCCTAAGAAAAAACTACAACAGTTGGGAAGTGGACTGAAGCTGTCATTTATAAGCCAGTTTCCTGTTTGGGAAATACTTGCCATCTTTTACTCTATTTTTTTCTTCAAACCCTTCCTTTTGCATAGGAGGAAACTGAGTCTCAAAGAGATGTTTCTAACTTTATAAGGCCATACAACTAGTAAGGCTTGGATACCAGTATGAATTTTTTTGGTTTGTTTTAGTAACAGCTATTGAGAAAGATAATTCACATTCTATAAAAATTCTCCCTTTTTAAAATATACAGTTAAGTGGCTTTTAGTATATTCACAGAATGGTGCATGCATCAACATTATCTAATTTTAGAGCATTTTCATCACCACCCCCAAAGAAACCCCAGCACCCACTAGTTTGTATTCCCCATTGCCCTGGCTCTTTGGCAATACCAATCTATTTTTCTGTCTCTATGGATTATGAATATTCAGTATAAATGGAATCATATAATATGTGGCCTTTTGTCTGGCTGTTTTTACTTAGCATAATGATTTAAGGTTCATCCATGTTGTAGCATGTGTCACTACTTCATTCCTTTTTATGGCCAAATAATATTCTGTTATATGGGTAGACCCTACTTTATTTATGTGTTCACCAGTAGATAGGCATTTGGGTTGTTTCTACTTTTTGACTGCCATAAATAATACTATCAGGAACATTCATATCGAGGTTTTTGTGTAGACATGTGTTTTCATTTCTGTTTGGTTGATACCTAGGAGTAGGGCTTCCCTGGGGGCTCAGATGGTAAAGAATCTGCCTGCAATGCAGGAGGCCCAGGTTCAACCTCTGGGTCAGGAAGATTCCCTGGAGAAGGGAATGGCAATCAACTCCAGTGTTCTCGCCTGGAGAATTCCATGGACAGAGGAGCCTGGCAGGCTCCAGTCCACGGGGTCGAAAAGAGTTGGACACGACTGGGTGACTAACACACTTTCACACTTATCTAGGAATAGAATTGCTGAGGCATATGGTAACTCTTGGTTTAGCATTTTTGAGGAACCAGTCTTAATTTTTTGAAATCTAAACATCAAGCCGTCCATCCTAAAGGAAATCAGTCCTGAATATTCATTGGAAGGACTGATGCTGGAGCTGAAACTCCAATAGTTTGGCCACCTGATGTGAAGAACTGACTCCTTGGAAAAGACTCTGATGCTGGGAAAGATTGAAGGTGGGAGGAGAAAGGGATGACAGAGGATGAGATGGTTGCATGGCATCACCAACTCAATGGACATGAGTTTGAGCAAGCTCCGGGAGTTGGTGATGGACAGGGAGGCCCGTGCAGTCCATGGGGTTGCAAAGAATCGGACAGGATTGACTGACTGAACTGAACTGAAAAATCAAGCTCTTTTTATTATACCTTGTTGGTATGAGACTAGGGAGTCAAGAAACTGGATGAAAGAGGGAAGGAAGTGGGTGGGAAGAACATACTGTTGCTATTTCATTTCTGTGAGTCACTTTTGATTCTTCCATCAATCACAGTTCTTCAAAACAAGTCAGCGCACACGTTGGCTTAGTTGCTGTAGGTTACAAGAATTTCAGAGTTTGAGGGGACCTAAGGGTGATCTCATCTCATGATTTACTTTCTTAAGCCTCTAAATGTTTTGTCAAAGTACAGCTTACCCAGGAACCCAAATGTCAGGCAGATAAACCACAGGGAGCATCCCCCGCTGAACTCGGGGAGAGGGCAGCGTCTCTGGTCCTCCTTGCCTGTCCTGTCATCCACTGACTCCATTCACCCAGCCCTCCAGGGCTTGAGATCTCTGTTCCAGAGGTTATTCAACATGTTTGAGCAGTTCCAAAGAACTGGAAACTCACCATCTCTGCATGCAGTCCATTCCTTCTTTGTGTGGTTCAGACCGTCAGTTGCTAAATGCAGTCAAAATTTGGCCCAAGTTCTGCCCCTTGGGTCCATAGGAAATCGGTTTAATCTCTTCTACATGTCCTAGGTCATCCCATGTTTGAAGACAGTCATGGTAGTTTCTTCTCAGGTCTGATTCCAGCTAAACATTACCTTTAGAAAAAGAAATCCTCACAAGACAGTTTTAGACGCTTCATCATCCTGGTTTGCCCAGTCTGTACTTCTTTTCTTTTGTCTGTATGCCTCTTTGGGCTTTCCTTGTGGCTCAGCTGGTAAAGAATCTGCCTGCAATGCAGGAGACCTGGGTTTGATCCCTGGGTCGGGAAGATTCCCTGGAGAAGGGAAAGGCTACCCACTGCAGTATTCTGGCCTGGAGAATTCCGTGGACCGAATAGTCCATGGGGTCGCAAAGAGTCGGACACGACGAGCGACTTTCACTCACTCACTCGTATGCCTCTTTAAATTTGACACAGCTGAATGTGTGCGTATTCCAAGCATGGTTTTTAAAGAGAGCGGAGTAGAGCTGGATACTTCACCTCCCTTGTTCTAAAATCTATACTTCTAATAATGTAGCCCAAGACCATAATAGTTCTTTTGCTTGCCATTTCATGTTGTTACCTTTTATC